CGGCGCGCAGCCCCGAGCCCCTTCCCTCGTCCACGGCGCGGAGGGTCACGTAGCGCGGCGGGAGCGCCGGGTCAGCTGCTGGCGTGCTCGGCTTACCGCCCCTTGGGACTAAAATCCTTGTAAATATGATAAAACCAGTGAATTTCTGAGGAGTTTTTCCCCCGTAGCAGATGCACTTTGGTGACAAGGCATTGTGTGTGAAGGTGTGGGTTTAACACGGTCAGAAACTACGGATGAACTACATCAGTTTTTAATGATACACGCCGTTCAGCAGAGATGTTCTGACTGAATAGTGGGTGCATTTTACATAATACATGGATTTTATGTTTGTTTCAGGAGTGCAGTAAAAAGCAGAAAAATGATGATACACAGAGTACGTCTGTTGATGAACTGAGCTCAAGTGATGGTTTTGAAGAGGTAACAGTCCTTTTAAAAATCATAATATACTCCTGTTCGTGTTCTTTTTTTGTTGTGTACCTCAAACGAGGTTGTAAGTAGAGAACTTTCAAGTACTAAATATAACACGACTCAAGAAGCAGTTGTAAGCAATTATGAGCACTTCTAGATCTCTCATGAGAATCAAGAATCTTTAGGAAAGGTGACATACAAACCTCTTTACTATGCAAACAAACCAGAAATTGAAGTTACAACTTTTTATGTGTGTGTCAAAAATCTCTTATCAAGTCTTCAAAACAGAGACTTGCAAGGAGAAAAGGGTTTTGATAGTATAGGTGCACAAAATGTCTCCTTATTCTTTATATTAAACAAGCTTAGATCACCTCCTGTTCTTCATCATAGAACTGTGTCCCTGGGAATAGGTTCTTCATTGGGGAATTAGTTTCGTTGTATTTAAATGTTGGCTGGTTATGTTGCTCCTCTACTCAAGAACTCTCCTTTTCCTCACAGATGAGATGTCAATGTACTGTGGCCAGAAGTTTGAAACTCCTGCTCTTATAGTATGTGTTCAGTGCAGTTGTAGAGCTGCGTTCTGATTGTTTCACCTCGTGGTAAAGAGCCAGAGCCCTGTTGCTCTTAGGGGGGCACCTAAAGGTGGTTAATAGTGCAAGTAAAAGTTTTCTCCCCATCTCAGTGGATGGGGACTGACAGCTCTGAAATGCAATGCAAATCAAGTTACTAGAACACAGGGCAGGGAGCTACATTTAGATCTGTGTTTACATTTAAACTTTTTCCAGTTTTGGCATAATAATAGCAGAGCCATGAGGAAGGATAGGACAGATTATTTTGATTACTTCTGAATAATCTTGGATAGTATGCACGTGTCATGGATTGTCTTGTTTTAAAGCAGTGACAGCACGTTTGCCCTTCAGCTGGATCACTGCAGAGATCTTGAAAATTGGTTGATTGTTGTTAAATACTTGTTTCCTTTTTTCGTCCCCAGAAAAATGAGTTTCCTACATTGGCTAATGCTAAAATACTCCTTAGTGACTGCCTAGCATGTGACAGTTGCATGACATCGGAGGAAGGAGCCAGAGTTTTCCAGCAGAATCAGAAGGAGCTCTTTCGTATTCTTAACCTTAATAAGGTAAAGTGACACAAACACCAACACGCTGCTTCCCGTGAGGAGGTGGCAATTACAGAATGACTAAGCAGCTTGCTTTCCCCAGGCACATAATGTGAACATTTGCAGGATAGGCTTTTTGCAGAGAGGAAGTGAAAACTGCAGGCAGGATGATTACTGAAGTGCTGAAAATAATTTTGCATTAGAGATGCAAGAGCACAGCATTTAACCTAGATCATAGAATCCCAGCCTGATTTGGGTTGGAAGGGACCTTAAAGGTCATCCAGTTCCAACCCCCTGCCATGGGCAGGGACACCTTCCACTAGAGCAGTTTCTCTGAGCCCCTGTGTCCAGCCTGGCCTAGGGGAAAGCTGCAGCACCTGCAGTAGTAAAATTTTTGGATAACAGCTACCTCATTACTGTAATAACAACTTAGCCTGTGGCTCAGTGGGTATAAATACCCATACCTTCATCACTGGGACTGCTCTGGGTGGCTATCAAGCTATGTTTTTTGCAAGTAGAATTGTTTTGAATATATATTCAAGTGGAACATACTTGGAAGAGAAGTTTTTGTCCAGATTCTTAGCAAAACACACGAATGTTCTGTGGTCTTTTATTTTGTGCTGAGTTCTGGATTTCCTGGAAGCTGGTTGCTGTGTATGGTGCTCAGATGTTTAGATCTTAATACTGAATTATTTTAGTTGTGTTCCAGGCTTGTGTGTCCTTACTTGGTAAGCAAAAGCTACTAGAAATGATGATTTTTCTTAATCTGTACCAAAATGTCATAAATAAGAGGATTCCTTACATAGGGATTCAGTTTTCTCACAACCAGTTTAACTCTGGATGCAGTATGATATTGTCATACATGATCTTGTCACGTAAGAGAAGAAAATGGGGAGGAAAACAAATCTTTTGGGTTACATGGGTGAAAGCTTGAAGTCTGGAGGCAGCCAGGTGCCTTCATCAGAACTTCAGGGGTCCAGAAGAGGACAGTGAGCAAGAAAAAGGCTTTCTGGGCAGTCAAAAGCTCTACTTGAAGGCTCATTACACAGCATTTAGGGGGTGTGTGGTCTCTAACCTTTTAGCATGAGGTTTGTCTGTGGCATAGTTATGGTTTGTTTTCCAAGGTTTTCACTGGTGTGGAAATCATTCCAACTAAAACAAGAGTAGTCTTCAGATAAATGTCAGAGTCATCAGAGCTGTGCAATGGTGTGCCTATTGTCAAAAGGTTCTTCAGAGCCTACCAGCACTGGTTTGTTGAAGGTCCTGTCTTGCCAGTTTCCCTCAACAGCTTCAGGGATGGAGGCACAGGAACTTTAACAAAGGGTCGGATCTGTAATTTGCTGGGTTGGATCTGTATCTTCAGATGCCCATGCTCCTATCAGCATTAGTTATTCTAGCTGTTAATGTCTAAACAGAGAGGGTTTTTTCATACTTGCTGGAAGGTTTCATATCACTAGAATGTCATAGGTGCTGGATGTGTCTTAACTTTCATTATGCCATTAGGAGACCAAGCACAGAATGGGCTGGGGGCGATGCGGTGTGTGCGTGAGTGAATTTTGCCAAGTTGTATGAGAGAAACATCTACCCATGATTACAGATGAACACTGACAGGATCAGAGGAACATCCTGGCCTGCCCTCGGGAACCTTGGTAGTTGTTTCACAGGGATTTTAATGATACAGCTCACTGAAGCATAAGATGCTGAGGAACAACTCCAGGAGATGAAAAGGGAGGGAAAGATGGGAGCCTTACCCTGTTGTAATCACAAGCCTTGTTTTCTTTGCTTTTATTTACTAGAAATGTGATACCTCAAAACACAAAGTGTTGGCAGTGTCTATATGCCCTCAGTCATTGCCTTATTTTGCTGCTAAGTTCAATCTCTCTGTGAATGATGCAGCCAAGAGACTCTGTGGTTTCCTCAAAAGTCTCGGTAAGTTTGGGTTTGTGATGGTGGAGCAGAAGGGGGAGATGACTAGGGTTTTGCTTCCTGAGCAGAACTTCTTACACAGTCAGAAAGTGCCATTGCACAATCTAGAGTTTGAAATGTGCACCCTGTGATACTAATGACAGTGCACAGCATGACATAACACCAGTTTCAGAAGCAGATTTACCTTGTTGATAGGAAAGGTCACAGAACAGAAAGACATGATAGAGCTGTCTTTGAAACCTTCACTACCAAGGAGTCGGGAAGGGTTTGGTCATGAGCTTCAGGAAGATTTCCCCTTGTTTTGTAACTTGAGGGAGGCAGGAATTCTTATCTTAAATGCCTTCCAGTCCTTTTGACACATTATATCTGTGGAAGAGTTTCAGTTCTTTCCTGTAATTTGAAATTACAGGACTGTTGTACCTGCCTGTTTTATGTTAAAGCTATGCTTCCTTTGCTCTTTATATACAAAGCTTTATTTAAAAAATCCCAAAACTTTGCCTATAGGTTTGTGGGGTTTTTAATGTACTTGAGGGAGGAAGGAAAAGGATAGGAATAAACCTATAAACTACTTCCATGTGTATGTGTATAAATTTTGCATAGTTTTTATGCGTCTGTACCCAGTATATTTTCTTCATTTAGAGGGAATGCAGAGTCCTGGTGGGCCTCAGTTTTCTGAGAATACATTGGTTATCTGTGCCTCACTTGCTGCTGGGCCACGCTCAGTGTTACGTAGGCATGTGGGGAGGATGTTGCTAAATAAGCAGGCAGAAGGGCTCTGCAGTGGTGGTGATAGGCTCCTGTACCTTTGCAGGCAACTTCAGCAGTGGGAGATATGCCTCTTAGGTGGATATATTTTTGTGGATAATGATATGAGACTTCAGTATGTCTTGTAGAGAATGCTCCTTTTCAGGAGTCGCTGCATATAGCCCAGGAGTGGCAAAACCCCATTCAATTAAACAAAAAGCAAGCATATGTTGAAAGGCAAGCTTCTCCTAAGGAAGCAGCCAACCATTTGGAATGTTGCTAGTCAGCAAGTTGGTGGTCCTTTTAAGTTCATGACATAGAAGCCATGCATTGAAAAGCTATCTTCTATTTTAGACTTTACTATTTGTGAAAGTTTGAAGAGGGGAAAGACTATACCCATTGATTCTCCAGGATTTTCTGTAGACCTGGAGCTTGAAAAGAAGCCTGTGAGGTGGAAAACACTCTAGTAATTCACTTTTCCTGCTTTCCTCCATAGGGGTGCATTATGTATTTGACACCACTATAGCTGCCGATTTCAGTATCCTGGAGAGCCAGAGGGAGTTTGTGCAGCGGTATCAACGGGGGAACCAGGAGGAGCATGCCTTACCAATGTTTGCCTCTGCTTGCCCTGGTGAGAACTGATTTCTCTGACCTTCCTGTGCTTCAGCCTAGTCTCATTGCAACTACCAAGGGACTAAAAGACGTCATTTGGGAGCTTTATCTAAATTCTGTCACTTTGGCTTTGCTTTTCAGATACACCAAATACCACACTCAGTACTTGTTATGGGTAGTGCTGATGATGTCTAATGCATTTCAGAGCATTGCTAAAGGGGCCTGTTTTTATGGGCTGTTGGGAGAGCAGAGTTAGTTTCCAGTCAGCTTTCCCATGTGTTTGTGACCATAAATCATGCAAAGAATGGATGGGATCTGGTGCTGGATAAGGCATGTGCCAATTCAGTGTAGGGACTTAAACAGTCGGATATGAAGGTTGCAATCAATTCCCTGTCTGCACGTTATAGATGTCTTCTGCTAGAGCTCTGTAAAAGGTGAGGAGTGTAAATTCTATTTTTGCTCTTAAAAAAAAAAATAAACCCCCAACTTTCCTGTAGTCCGCAGCCCCTGATAATACAGTGAACCTGAACTACAGATTCTCTGTGCTGGTGTTTATATGTGGTATTTATTAGTTGTATTTCTTCTCACTTCTGTAGAAGCAGCATGTATTACATGTGAATCACTGGGTAACAAAACTGAGGTGCAGAAGCACTGTGGTCTTTAGTGCTTTGTGTAAGACCTTAGAAGAAATTAATCAAAACTGGAACTGAGGAGCTGGTGGCTGCTGCTGTTGTGTTCAGACGAGAGTTGAAGAGGGCATCTGCTTATTGAAAAGAATCTTTTAAGGAATTTACTAACTGCTATAATTAAACCACAACCTCTGTTTTCTTAAGCAAAGTTTTGAACTTGCTGCTTAAGCCTAGGGGAATATAGCAAGTGACTTTACTGACTGTGAGATGATTATGTCTAATACTTCCAAAATAATTCCCACTTGAAATGTCACAGACCTGACTCAATAAATGTCTCACTTCTGAGAATTCTGCACCTGAAAATCTGTTCTGTTATGAAAGGAACCTGTATTTATCACAACTGAAAAGATGCAGAACATTGAGTCACTGTTTACTTTTTCCGTTTTTTTAGCACACCATCATTTCAGTTTGAGTCAGTTTGCTAAAGTATGAAAAAAGAGGTAAAAGTAACTGCTTTGCCTACCCCCCCCCCTCCACCCTAAACTTCATGGTGTTGCTTTTCAAAAGGCTGATAAAAATACAAAACTACTTCTTTCTAGCTTTCATAGAATGGTTTGGGGGTGGAAAGGACCTTCAAGATCATCTAGTTCCAGTAGAAATTGCCCAGAGAACAGCTTTGAAATAACTTAAGTGGGTTGCATTCTTTAAAGCAGTGTTAGTGACCAGAGTGAGTTAGAGTTGCCTTTGATGATACCCAGAATCTGCTGTCACCGTTGTTTAAATATTGCTATTTGAATTGTACTTTTTGGTTTTGTTCTGCGTGTTCTGGGTTATGCTTTAGGAACTATGTGTGTGCATTAAGAGGAAAAGTACCTATTCTTTTCTTTTCCTTCTGCTATTGTTATCTTACTGTTACCTCCTATCTTCAGAAGCAGACATCCTATGTTGGGTTTTTATGCAAAACCTGTTAAGTTGAACCAGCCCCCTGTTACTTAGCTTTGTCTTGTACATGTTTCATTAAAAATTCAAAACCTCCACATTTCTTACAGAACTTCTGAGATAATTTTGATTTTCTTCATCTAAAAAGTCAGCTCAGATGATCTGCTGCTTTTATTGGAAATATTTTAAGTAGTTAGTGGAGCACTTCTCTTGCCTGTTCTACAACGGCTTGTTTCTGTTTCCAGTGCTAGTTCTGGTGTTGGCTGGCTGCTCTGGTTTAGGGGTTAGCAGAAGCACAGGTCCTTTCTGTTTGTGGAAAACTGAACCAAAACATCCCTGTGAACCCAGTGTGAAAGCATATGTTGTTTCGTTCCCATTGACAGCAATTACAGGGCAAAGAAAACCCACCCCATGATCAGTCATCTTTAAGCTTGTTCGCTGACTTTAATTATCTGGGTGCATTTGCTGTTCCTCGTTCTCCTTCCTCTCTCTACCCCCAGAGCACACAATTTTGTGCCAGAAATGTTGTTTACTGGGTATGTGTATCACAAAATGGTTTTTATATAGCTCTGTAGATAGAAGGTCAGTGTGAACTCAGGTGTAACTGCTTTTCTTTTACTTGTGTTCGGGTGAAACTTTTCACAGAAGTATCATCCTCTGCAGGAGTGGTCTGTGGTGTAAAATCTACCATGAGCAGCAGAGCATAGCCCATATAGTCCCAGAGCCTGATAAAAGGGCTTATTTTATTGTCTCTGTCTTAATTGTTCTTGTCTCCTCCTCCTGCTCTCAAAGTGAGCTACTGGAGGGGAGGGAGGGTGGTGAGGAGGGTGCTGTTGAAAGTACAAAAGTGTAACTACTGATTGTATATGTAATATCACAGAAGTAATCAGTTATCTTCCTTAACTTATCAAATAGGTAAGCAAGATGAAGCACTTGCTCTGGGAACCAGCCAGCATTTTTAATGCATTGCCAACCTCTGAACTCTAGGGCAGGCTTACAGCAGAAGTAGGAAGAATAACTGTTGAGGATTCACATGTGTTTGTCCCAGTCAATGAAACTAATTTCCTTTTACAGGACTGGGGTTTTACAGTATCAAAAGTAGTCTTAGTTTTTCTGCACTTCCTGCTGCTGAATAGATATTTATAGTGTGCATCTGTGATGTGTTCATGATAAACCACTAAAAGTAATGTCTTCTGAAGTGCATCACAGTACACAGGAATTCATAGTGATTTGTAGGGCTTTTTTGTTCCTTAATGGTAACACAAACCAGCAAGTGGCTGAGAATCTGAATGAGTTTCTGAAGGGTATAGGTCTGTATGGGTACAGAGGTGCATTGATAAAAGAACTGGGTATCTTCAGCTTCCTGTAACGGAGGCTCTGGAATTCAGCCTGGTTCATGAGTAGGCAGAAACTGTGTGTGAAGTGCTGATAAATGCCTCACGCTCTCATTCACCAAGGCTGCTTGTATAATGAAACAGTGACTAATGGTCATTGTGGAGCTGGAACTACTAAGCACTTGTTCCATCTACTGCAAGGAAAGAAGCAATTTAAGATTTAAAAACTGCTTTGGACAATACTTGCCAGAAGTCTCTTGGGAATTAGGGAGATGTCCTTATAGTTCATGACGGCAGTACCTAAAACATCCCAATTAAAACCAGCCTCGGAGCAGGAGTGCTGTGGTGGTTAATGGTAATCATGGTTGCCATACAAGGGAAGGACCTTCCAGGAATGCTACTGAAGTTCAAGGCAGAAATTTTTTAAAAACTTGCTTTGTTTTTATTTTGTTTGAAGCTGGTTTTGTTCTATTTTGTCAGCACTTGAAACTAAAGCCATTTAAGAAATAAAAGTATACGTATCATGCAGTATGTGCTAATATGGCCCTTGTACCAAGCACCAAGAATTTCAGTCCTTTGTTGCAAGTAGTATCTTGGATTTAAAGTCCCAGTTGAAGCTGGACATTAAACAAACTTCCTATCAGAGTCTAGCAATTCAGCACAGTCCTGATTTGCAAGTCTATAGTCGCTAGCTTTTTCTACAACAGAAATGAATGCTTGTTGAAGATACATCTTTGAGATTTGACATGGAGACCAGTATCTGTTCATCTTGAAGCCTGTACCTTAGCAAGAATTGGCAGTATCTAAACAGCTGGAGGATCCCTATGTTTCCCTAATACTACTTTCTCATTTTCATCAGTAAAACTTCATTACACTGGGAAAGTCACTACTCTGCCTTAGAGAGACAAACCATCTGAACACCACCTGGATACCAGTTTTGTGCTGCTGTTGGCCTTTGTGTCAGTGTTCTGACTTAAACGTTACTAAGAGTTTATATGTATGTGTTGATTTCAAGATTAAGAATTAACCTACAGGGTTTACCTTTCCTGGCAGCATGCACTTCCCAGGAATTCTTCTCTTTTATGTAAGCACTAATTTGTCAGAAGCTGGAAGACTTATGTGTGGTATTTTTCACTGTTGGCACAAAAAGCAGCACATGTCCCTAGAAGGCTGGGCCTGACTCTTCTGTACAGTTCACGTGTTTGGTTCTCGGTCTGGGCTGTTGCTGTCAGTAAGAGTTACAGTGCCTTAGAATTGCACACCCTAAATAAATATCTTCATTTGCTCATTTGTTGGTTCCTGTCTTGGAAGGTGGGGAATAATAGAACTTCTCTGCATATTGGGGGTGGTGTGAATGAATATATGTAGCTTGGCATAGCCTGCATGCTGAAGGACTTGGGTGAAAGGGAGGGGGAACTCTTGAGTAACTAAGAATGTTGAATACAGAGAGATTTCAGTGTGTGGTTGAGTGTGTGGGCATTTCAGAAGGTGTGGCTACTCTAACAATAGTAAAAGAAGCCTTTTTTTCCCAGGCATAATCCATGTGCATGTTATGATAATGCTTTCATGTGACTGCTGTTGTAGAGGAGGCAGGCTGGGTGCATGGATATTAAATCTCAGGAAATAGAAGGTTACAGTTAAGCAGCTGAACAGAGTACATCTGTTGTATCTGGTGATCCAAAGTCTGAGGTCTAGAGGGTGAACCTACTCTTTGTTAGCTGGGGTACTGGTCTTCCTGCTTTGTTAAATGTATGCATTAGGAAGGGTGTAATAGGTCATGAAGTTCACTGGCTTCTAGTGAATTCTTGATAGCCAACTGTAAAGCATTATTAACAGAGCCTTGAGGTTTCCTGTAGTTACCAAGGTGGGGCTTCCAGCCTACACAGATATGTCTCACCTACTGTGAAGGTGTCTTCATTTTTAAGAGCTGTTCTATGACTGCTACCACTTTGCCATGCTTGTGTGTCACTTCTGACTGTGAGTCCCTGCTGTTCAAGGTTGGATCCGGTATGCTGAAAGGGTACTTACCAACCTTGTGACCTCTCACATTTGCACTGCAAAGTCTCCACAGCAGATCATGGGCTCCCTGGTGAAGGGCTACTTTGCCAGGCAGCAGGTAAGTAATTCTGATTAATTTTTACCACGTTACTCTTCTAAAAGGAAGGATTAGTGGGTTTGAATACTGAGTATCTCATAGAATCACATAGAATGGTTTGGGTTGGAAGGGACCTTAAGATTATCTAGTTCCAACCCCCCTGCCATGGACAGGGACATCTCCCTCTAGACCAGGTTGCTCAAGGCCATGTCCAGCCTAGCCTTGAACACTCTCAGGGGTGGAGCATTCACAATTTCCTTGGGCAGCCTGTTCCAGTGCTTCACCACTCTCACAGTAATGGTATTGTAAAGTGGTAGAGTATCTTCCTGAATAGTTTGTCCTTTACTTGAAAAATAAATGGTGCTCTGCTGCTATACCAGTGCCTATGATAAGAAGAATGTACAAGGAGCCTCATTTTGTGCAGTGCAGTGTGAGCTGGCAGCAATCCTCATGGTCCCAGTGCAACATGGATTTAGATACTTATGGATAAAATTAAATCTAGGGTAGCTAAAGAGATTCTTGTTATATGCTGCCTGTGTAGTTCTACAGCACAGCCAAAACAGGAGTGAAAGACAGCAATGTAGAAATTACCCTGGTACCTGGGATCAATAAAAGCATTGTATCCTAGAAACCAACCTTGTTATCCTCGTTTTGTATGTTGAAAAAGTTGCTGTCCTTTTTATGTGTCCTATTTAACTGACTCCATGTTGTATAGAGAAGTATTGTTACCTCCCCGCAGACAGAGTGAATGACAGGTAGAAACAGAATTCTGAAGTCCTGACTTGCATTCACTTTCAAGGCAATCAAAAGCTGCAGAAAATGTGACCTGAGGAATAAGTAGAAGTTTCAGCCAGAAGACTGACTTTGGCTGCTTCTTGCTGATGCTTTGTGACTTCTGCAAATCACTTCAGCTGTGTGCAGCAGTCTTTGCTTTTAACTGCTAGGAATTGATTACTAGTGTTACCTGAGACCTTATGATGGTATTTTTGTCCTTGTCCTCCTTCAAAAGCTGCTTTTCTCTTCATGGAGATCACATGTGCTCTCTTCTATGTTCCACAGAACTTGTCTCCTGATAAAATTTTCCATATAATTGTGGCGCCTTGTTACGACAAAAAACTGGAAGCCTTGCGGGAAGATTTCTACACTGCCTTGTATAATTCACAAGAAGTTGATTGTGTCCTGACATCAGGTTAAACCTTCTTTGAACTTACTATTTATAAAGATAAAAGTGAATCACGGCTGTTAGAATACCCTTTATGCCAGGCTTTGCTTTTTTCAAGTCTGCTTTAGTTGTAAGGTTGACTGTTTTTCTTGCTGTAAAAATATGCATGTTTTTGTGGTACTGGTAGTACAGGTATTGTATAGGGAAGGCAAAGTGAAAAAATACTTTCCTTCTAAGTTGGTATTCATCTGAAAACAAGATTCAGTTATTTGGTGTTGTCAGCCTCGTGAGAAAGGTAAGAGTTAGGCAAATCATTGTCTTGCTTGTCTGTGGTTATTTAATCTCTGCTGGGGCTATTCTTAACATTCCAAGTGCATAGCATCGTGGCTTTTTGATGTGGCTCTTGTCTTTAGGCTTCATGTCCAAGCTGCATACCCTCCTTTTCCCCCTGCAGTGTAGAAACATCTGCCGAACTTCACCTAACAGAAAGGCTCAAGTGTAGCTTTATGCAGAGTGTGGAGCAAGCTGAAGGCCCTTTTTTTCAGGGCTGGAAGTGTCAGGCTTCTCAGTTAGTACAGAGAACTGACTCTAGTAAGAATTGCAGAAGATGACTGTAAGCACATACAACTGTTGGGATACTGATCTCTTAAACAGAGGCACAGCATGTGTATTTTGCTTTGTCTTGAAAGTAAAATGTGGTATGTTTCCCTCCAGGTGAAATTGTCCAAATAATGGAACAGAAAAATGTGTCTATGAAAGATGTGACCGAAGTATCTGTAGATAGTTTGTAAGTAGTTCTGTAATGGATCGCGTCCTTATTCTGATGACAGACACCACCACCTTTGGTCATACTCAACGTAAATGTCAAACTTCTCAAAAGAATACTTTTTTTTCTTTTTTAAAGAAAAAAAAAAACCTGCATCAAAACCTGAGTATACTAAAGCCTCATCCTTTATATAGTGGCCAAAAAGCCCCAAAGTATTCTTAGATGTTCATTGCTATATATAAAATTAATACAAAACAGAGAATATAGAACTGTACATACTGTGTAAATACAAAGCAGTTAATTTGAGGTAATGACCCCTATCTAGTAACTCCTTTTAAACTGTGATTTTTTGAAGACTTGTGTAGCTCCTTATTGCTATTTTGATGCAGTAATATTACACTGGACTTCATCAAATTCCCAGCTTGCTCCTAAGTGTGACTGTCTGGAGGCGCTGGCCTCATTCAGTGCTCTCCCGTGCTTGAGCTTGTGTAGAGCTGGACAGTCTCACCCACCCTCTCCAACTGCTGGGCCTCACACAAAGATGCTGGGATGCAGTCGTGGGGCTGACCATCTGCTCTGTGTTTTCACTCTCATTCAGAGCAGCATCTTGACAGTAAATTTCTACTTCCCCTGATATGTTCATATAGAATTGATTCCTTTCAGGAATTTTTTTTTGTTTTTAACTGAAGACAGCAGATTTTCCAGATTAAATAAAATTGAGACGTGCTTTAGATGAAAATCACACAAAGCATTGAAGAGACCCTGTTTACTTCATGACTGGCTCACCACGAAGCAGCTTGCATGTTTTAATTCTCAGGCTTAGTTACAAAGGCTGGTCTCGCTGTTCACTGATCTTTGTTCAAGTGTGACAGATGCTACTTGGTATCTTTCCAAGGTGATGGCAGTGGAGCAATCAACATGATTTCTTGCACAAAATAGCCCTAGAAATGCAAAAACAAGTCCCTTTCACTTTGTCCTGCTTGGACCTGACCTAGGCTGAAGAGTTTAAGTGGTGCAATGGTAACATTTTCAGAGCTATGTTTGCAGTGTAGTTCCTATGATCACTTCTACCAGAGATTGCTACACAGAATTACATAAAGTCCTTACCGACATAATTACATAGAGATAGTAGTTTATTTCTAAATCAGCCTGTCCAACGAAAGAACATTCTCACTCGGAATACACCTGTTTTATTGGATCAATTCCTGTTGGAAAGTAGTGTTAATTTTTAGAAGGACTAATCTGATAATACTGGCTCATGCTGTGGGACCTGATGACATGAATATTTGCCCCTTTGGGGTCTTAAAAGTAGATTTTGCAGAGAAAATTATATTCCTTGAACTCTTTCTCTTAAAACATGTCCCAGCACAGTAGCAATTTGTGGTAAAGTGCTTGCTATTAAAAAGTAGTATGAACTAAGCAACTCATGCTGGAGTTCTCAACCTGCTTTGGTAGTTAGAGAATGTGAACAAATAACAGTTGGCTAAAATTAGGAGACGTAATGAAACACAATCACCCAAGGTTATTAAACAGAAGTTGCAGTAGATGCAGTGGTATGGCATAGAGACACACTACATTTGTAAACTTTGGCTCATTAGTGATTAAAATAGTTCCTCATCATTATTAAAACTTCAGCATTTTCTGTGAGGTGTTTGCTGTGGTAATTTTCCCTTTGGTTTTGTGGTTAATGCTGTACTCAGGGCTGCTCAGGCACTGGCTGGTGGTGTGGGCCAGGAAAGGTCATGTCTGGATGTTCTGGGAAGAAGGTAGTTATATCTAGAGAGGCTCTTCCATGTAAGAGCAAAGGACATAATCTGTCTGTTTGCTAAGCTGAAGACGAGTATCGCCCTGAAACAAGCATTGCCACACACCCCTATTGATTTCTCCCTTGTGAGCCTGCAGAGCAGCAGCCCTTGGCCATCACCAGCACACATACCCGTGCAGTTCATAATCCAGCCACTTGTGCTCACCAGTGCTGGTGTAAACAGAGGGAGAGGTGGACCTCCAAGTGAATACTATGCCCAAAATTTGTCACTGAATTTCTTTCCTGAACCATAGTGTAGCACTGACCATAAAGGTAGAGTGTTCTCACCTAGTCACAACTGTACCGATTGGTACACTGCGTATTCATGATAGATGTGTAACACTATGACAAGCAGCTCCTGGAGCAGGAGGATTGTAAACAAAGGCTGGTAACTTCTGAAGTGCTTTTATATTTTCACAAGCTAAAAGCGATTAATTTTTTTTTTCCCCAGAAATGTTTCCTGAGCAGTGAATGGCTGTTGGTTACTAATTCTTTAGGGTGTGTCAAATGTGCATTCTTACAAACTTCTGTTACTTGAGGTTTCTGAACATGGAAAGTCCTGCAGCCTTTTATTAGTCTTTTTTTCCATCATCTTGCTGCTGTCCTGAACAGTTGTTTGGGTTTTTAAGCTCTAATAAATAAAAGTGTTAATACATTCTCACTGCTATAAAACTCTTTGGTGGGGGAGACAAAGAAAGGGGAAAACATACTACTTCATTGAAGTGAAAGAGTGAAATTTTGAAGCTGATCTTTCTTTCTGGTGTTTCCTAAGGTTTGGTGAAATGAAGGAAGAAGATGTAGTGAGGCATGATGGGAAGAGATCTGATGGTTACCTGGAGCACATTTTTAAATATGCTGCAAAGGAGCTTTTTGGCATGGAGGTCAAGGAAATCACCTACAAAGCATTAAAGTAAGTTAGAGTTTTGTATTCTTGTTGTGTGGGGTGGGCTAGTAAGAATAGAATAGAATACTTTCAGTTGGAAGGGACCTGCAACGATCATCTAGTCCAGCCTGACCAAGTTAAAACACATTATTAAAGGCATTGTTCAAATGCCTCCTTGAATACTGCCAGGCTTTGGGGCACTGACCACCTCTCTAGAAAGCCTATTCCAGTGTTTGGCCACCCTCTCTGTAAAGAAATGGTTCCTAATGTCCAGTCTGAACCTTTCCTGGTTTACTTGGTGCTGCTTGAACCATAACACAGTTTTGCTCATCTGACTCTTTTGCTTATAGGCGGTTACGTGTCACCTGTAAATCTGTTGTTGTTAAGTAGCTCCTGCTAGCTTTAATTTTATTAAGTTACTTTTAAGTATAATTCTATTCGGAAATTTCACCTCCAAGTTCTGCTTAACTCAGTTTCTAAAAGGGAAGAGTTGACCTTAATCTCGCTGTTACGCTTCTTCTGCTCTCTGGAGTATCCAAATACAACACATTTGGATCATCCTGGTGGTAATTCAGGGGTTTAAAATGTTCTCTGTGTATCTTTCTAGGAACAAGGACTTCCAAGAAGTTACCCTTGAAAAGGATGGTGAGACAGTGCTGCGTTTCGCAGCAGCTTATGGCTTTAGAAATATCCAAAACATGGTTCTGAAGATGAAAAAGGGGAAGTTTTTGTACCATTTTGTGGAAGTCCTTGCCTGCCCGGGAGGTAAGAATAATTGTGGATTCACAGTTGTTCCGCACATGTATCTTGAATCCCAAAGGAAAGTTGTCTTACAGGCAGGCACTTAATTTCTTAATTCTCCTCTTAATAATCTAAAATGCTGATTATTGAATGAAGGGCCCAGGATACCAATTACATGGGCAGGGTTGGCTCAGAGATTGATGGGGTTTTTTAAAATGAACCACAACGTTATTTGCTCTCTTCTGGACCTATAAATAAGTGACAGGGTGGCTCTTATGATTACTTCAGATGTCAGAGGAAGTACTCTGAAATGGTCATTGTCAAGGGCAAGAAAAGACAAGGAAAATAATTAAGATCATAAAACCATGGAGAAGGCTGATAAAGATTGTTGATATGGAAACCTCATTTAGATTAAGATGATGTTGATACTGGGGTTGCTTCAAGTAAATACAAATTCTAATGGGATGGGCAGTAGATTCATGTAAAGAGACAACTTTTTTTCAGACAAACTGGTGGGGGGCGGAATCCAGGTTAACAAACTTCTTCATACCAAATCTCCATCGACCTTATGGCTTCTTTCCTTTCCTTTTTGTTAAGGGTGCCTAAATGGAAAAGGCCAGGCACAAACTGAAGATGGAAAACCAGATAAAGCTAAGTGTATGCTGCAATACCTGTCAGACTTCCAGAAACCAACGTGCACGTACAAAAGATGTACCAGGACTGGCTGGAAGGCATGGATTCTAAAAAGGTCCAGGAGACTTTGCACACCACATACAGTGCAGTCAATCAAACAGCAAGCAGTTTGGATATCAAATGGTAATAAATCCAACTTGTAAAAGATTTGCTTAGGTTAGTTACAGATTCAGCACTGGAAACATTCTATGCAATCGCAGATGCTATGCACTAGCCGAGTGTATGAATGAGACACTTCCCAATTGTGGATTATTACTTGTGAAGAACAATTGCTTTTTAAAACCAGAAAGAGAAGTCTCCAAAAGCCCTGGTTCCTGCCATTGCCATTTAATTCTTCCTGTGTGTAATGGATTTCTTTATTCAAAAATGTGATCTTGTAAGGTACTTCAGCACTTTCTGCCAGGGGCAGGGAGTGTAATTCCTCATGAAGTTACTCCCAGAATCGAAGGGTTCCCTTCACAAAATGGGCTTCCCCAGGAAGGTGAGATTATTCTACTCCTCTTCCTAGGTATGCAGTTCCTTTCATCATGGGGAAAACAAACAGTCCCGAATTTCAGAATTGCAGTTGTTGTGAAGTAACTTGCCTTTTTAACAACCCCTTTACAGGGACAAATGTGTATGTGGAGAAGTGGCATGAATTCCTGTATGCCTTGTCTCCATATTTAACAAACACTGCTCACTTCCAAACTACTCACCATTCCTTACTGATCTGGTGTTTTGTAAGGAACAAAATGCTTCATATAAACTGAACTTGGGGAAACTAATGCTTAATGGTTATAGTGCAATCCTTCATTAGAAATAGTTCCAGATAGGTTGGTTGGTACAAAAAGAGAACTTTTCTTTCCTTGCAAGTTTTCTTAGAAACTTGCAGCTAGGAAGAGTGGTGCTGCTTGCTTTGCAGGCTTTGTTCCAAGAGTGAAACATGCATATGCACTGTCATGTGAGCACATGCATACTACAGCTTTGCTAGGTTTGCTGAGCCAGACTTCCGGCACTTGTAGACTCTCATGTTTTGGTACACACAATACCAGATTGTTCTTTCATTTATCTCCATGTTGACAGACTTCAAGTAAAAATAACTTCATGGAGTGCCTCTGAAAAAAGCCACTTAGCCATGCTTGTGAGCTCCTCGAAGTTACTATACGTCAGCATCATGAATTTGGTGTGCTTACTTTAGGTATGCTGTAGGGGTTTCATTCAACAAAGTGGTATTTGCATGCAAGCTTTTCCTGCAACCTCAGGAGTTGTCAGAGGGTTATTCAAGAATGTAATGGACAAAAAAATACCCTACTGCCAGACTTCCTTAGATCTTCCTAGTAGCAATGGATTTGTTCAGGATTAATGGCTGTTTGAAGCTGGCAAAGTTTCAGCTTTCCTTTTCCAGTCTGAAATTGGGGATGGGCTTTTTTAATCGTTTCAGACAGTTTGAATGAATCTTCTTGTAAACTTCTTAATGTTAAAACTGCTTGTAAGTATGAGTAAGACCTAATACTGCAAAAACTTGTGTGTATTTGAAATCCTCATTTAACTTGAACACAGTGGATGGGATAAAGGCATCAGTGAAGTCAGTGCAAGTTCTTGCATTGACTAAACACCAGAGAGTTCAAAAGGAGAGAACCAGACCTAAGCGTGTTACCCTGATGACAAGAGAGTTCTCTTAATGTGAAGCTGTCGATAGAATTGCAGCTTTCAATTGGACCTCCACCTAAATAACAAAACATTTCACTTGGAGGGATGTTTTCTTTCAAGTATAAATGGATTTGATTACTGTGCTACCCAAATGCACACAATGAGATTACACCCATAAGTTAGCCTTTGTAAGTTGTTCCTTGTAGTAATAAAAACATTATGCTTACGTGGTGCAATATCAGAACATCTACAGAAATCTACCTCTGTACAGGAAGGGAGTCCAGAAATTGTGGAAAGACCTATGTATAGCAAGAACTGTAGTAAATATCTCCTAAAGAACGATGGTGGTGTTGCATGCAATTTCTGAACAGATTATTTCTAGAAGCAACATCCAGCTCCTTTGGTCTGAATTTCTTTGTCATGATTTCCTCCAAGAACTTCAACAGAATTACCTTGTAAAAAAAAAAAAAAAAAAAAAAAAAGTGGTCTTGTTCTGTTTGTATAGGCATATGTTTGTATGTATATATGATGGCATGTTTAAATTATATTGCTTCAGTTTTCTGTATAGTATGCTTATTTTTTTTATGTGCATATACTGGATGGAATGGTATGGAAAAGTTGTTTGCTGTTCTGATGGAATCTTCACTACACTACACAAGAGCTGCCTTGCAATTCTGAAAGGACACCCTTGAACTGATTGTACAACTTAGAAATGTTCCTCTTGTGTAGGTGGTGCTGCCGTGTGTGTTCTGCCATTGTGCTTGCCTGGGGCACTGAAGGGCCTTGCTTCCCGTGCTGGTGGGAGTCACTAGGAATGGGCCAGTAGGTGAAATAAATCTATCTGTGATGTGCTGTGCTCCCATAACAAGGGAAACCAGTGGCTAAATCAGTGCATAAAATAAACTACTTCAGTTTAATCCACCATTTCTTCCATCTACTCAAGTGTTTTAACCTGTCGAGATGGTAGCAATGTAAAATTCTACTACATGATTTGTCTATTATGGTATTTTTTTAAAGACAAGGCATCTAACTGCAGCTTTTAGTGGCTAGGGGGAATGTATGTATAATAGCTAGTGACTTACAGTGACTGATACTAGTCTTTTATTTGGTCAGCTTTTGTTTTATAAGACTTTGAAGTAAAACTGATTTTAAGTTTGTAAAGCCCTTTTCTTTAAAGTGCCAGTTGGAAAAGATTTCTCCCTTAACTGAGGTGAATCTTCCTCCCTCGACCTTGTTTCACTGAAATTTTAACATCTATCAGAAAACCTTGTTTCTGCAATTCACATACAGTGAAATACTTACCTAAGGTTAAATTCTGGCTTTTAAATCTACAGTTGGGAAGTTTGTTGTTCTTGACAATATGTGTTTCTAGCCAGATTTTGAAAATACAACATTATTTAGTTCCCTGGTATGATTTTGGCAACTAATAGTTTTCATTGCTACTGCCTTTTCAGCAATGGGAAAAGTTCCTTGTGTGGTCACAGCCACAGTGCTTTACTTCTCAGTTGAATGTTGTGCTGAGACAGTCTTGTCTCTAGATGATTTTTAGAAAACCCTAAATTGGAGGGATTGCAGGAAAGTAACTGGAAATGCTGAATTAACTTGGAAATTGTCTTGGGGTATTACTGACTTGAGCATATCAAGTGCTTGATACCTTGTGTTACATTACTTTATTCTGAGACTGCTATAACAAGGGGTATGTGTTGGAAAGTCCTTTTGCTATACCTTCTCCAGGCAGTTTTTGCCTCGGCCCCAGCACCTCATGTTTGTCCACTACAGCTAAGGAACACTGACAGACATGGGCTATGCCATCACCTAGAGTACCGGATGTATCTGTAGGCAGCAGTCTCAGCTGGAGTATATTTGGATAATGTTCAGTTACCTAAATTTTGGTGCTTTGTATTCAAATGGAGCATGACCATGAATTGTCCTAAATAAATCTTGGTACTGAATTATTTACTGATTCTGTCTCATTCCATGTAAAAGCTTAACTTCTGAAGTACACCTTATTTTAGTGTATGTGCTTGTCTGGTGAATTTAGCGTGAATGCTTAGTCTGTAACAGTAGTACTGTATCAGCTATTAATGAGTATTCTGGATTACAGCTGGACTTCAGACAGTGGAAGGAGAAAGGTGCTGGGTAGCAGTCTGAAATGGTAACGTTGATTTCTAGAATTAGTTTACAAATAATGTATTGAATCATACCAAGGCAGATAAACATCTAGTGGCTTTAAAGCTCCCTTACCTGAGAAGAATGATGATGCTGGCTGGAGCCAATCTATAGAGGCTGATAGCTCTATAGTATATACACTTACTTTAAAACACTGTTGCACAAGGAACAGTAAAGATAATCGTGTATAGTCTGATATTTAGAATCACTGTTGGGGAAAGGATGAAAATTAGCCCTGACATAGAAGAGAGAGAGTTTTATTGTTTTATGAGTAGGTCATGTAAATATTGACAGATTTGGCAAACATTTCTGTATGTTTCTTTAAAGACGGTTAATACCCTGACTTGACAGAACAGCCTCTAGACCTTGAAGGTTCCTCAAAATAGTAACTACTCCTGAAGGTGATTTAAATTTTTTTCAAGGGATAGTAAGGAGTGGTTACTTGGCCAGAGAAAAAAGAAGAGGAGCTGAAGTTCAGTTTGATGTAGAACAGGGCTGTTGCTGCGTTAACAACTAGTACGGACAGGATGTGAGAGGGGAGCAAGGGTGTTCTGATGGCTTCAGCTCTTCTGAAATAGAAAATTGTGTCAGCAAAGGAAGGGTAATTTCTATTTGAACTCTCCACAGTTTGATCTGTGAGATTATACTCACTCTGAAATTGCTACATTTTTGTGAATAATTAGGTGCACTTGGAAAATAATGTCCAAATCTGCACATTTACAGAATCTGAAACTCAGATTTTCCTCTTGTCTTCTTTTATTTAAGACTTAATATAAAACAACAGTAGCAGATAATGAAAGACCCAATAACATTGTAGTAAGAAGTATTTAAGGTCTTATTTGATCTTTTTTTGCATAGCTGTGCGATTTAAGAAAATGTTAATAGCGTGATACAGTTCTGATCAGGGAAAAGCCACTTGCCATTTAGCTTCCCCGATCTCACCCCTGTTCTGGCCAGCACCCCACTCTGCTCCGCACTGGCGTTGCAGTCGGTTCGTCGGGGCTCATTATCTAGGCTACCGTGCAAAGAACCCTCCTAAATTTTAGGTCGTTGTGAACAGGCTGTGCTGGCGAGGGGTCACCACGGACAGATAAAAGGGCAGGCTGCGTCGCAGGTTCTACCGAGATTTGAACTCGGATCGCTGGATTCAAAGTCCAGAGTGCTAACCATTACACCATAGAACCGGGCGGTGGCACTCGCCTCCGCCAGCCCGGGCAATAACCCCACAGTGAACGAATCCCATCCCCCTCCCGCCTCGGTGGCTGGAGTGATGGGCCGGGAATTTAGTGCAACTAAAATCATAACTTTGCAGACCTTTCTGCAATGTTGGCTGTCTTCGTGGTGTAACGACCGCCAAGACGCAAGGTCAGACAGCAAACACGAACGGTAGGAC